CTGCTGTGTAAGGACAAAATCGGTTCATCGTGAACAGTTTTACGTGGCCCAAAATTATCCATTCTCTGGTGACTCGAGACTTGAAGCATCTGTCGATGAGCGTGAAGTTCGACCTCGACGTGAACCAGTGTCACAAAGCAGACAACAAGGGATAGAAATATTGAAGAGAACGCTAAAGTGTTGGAGACTGGGTGCGTCTTTGATGACTCCATTAATCAGCTTTAGTGTCTTAAACGAAATTTTAACGTAACTTGCTCGTACAATTTTGATTCTTTCCGTACAGTGGCTTTGTTTTTTAGACGTGTCATGTAAACCTGACCATGTTTCTGCCTTCAGTTTTGGCTATTTTCCAGACCGCTTAAGGGAGGATTATTATAAGCTTTTCCTAAATTCCAGGCGAGGTCTGTTACGCAACCGCATATCACGGGGTTTCAGTCAGTAAGTTTAAATTTCATGGCAATGGTCTCTTAAAATTAGTCCTTGGGAGTTAGATAGAAGAAAGCGCCGGAAAACTCAGGGCACTGAGGTACAAAAGGAAGGTAAAAGAGTGAGCAAAAATGAAGAAAACAAGTCAGAGTCAAGCTGATGGCAATAGCTCATCTTCAGACCTCTTGTCTTACATATCACCATTGTTAGTACGGGAATCTTGATGTTTTGACAAAAAGCTGAATACAAAGTAACACAGCTCTAAGTTTGCGAAAAGCTGCCAATAACTACAATAAAGTATTTACCTACATTACCAGTGTTGCTAAGCAACAGTTAAAAGCAATCGGTTTATATGACGGCCACAGTGCGAGTTAATGGTAGGTATTTTTTTTTTCTCTGTTACGTTGAGTCTGTGAATTCGATGGGCGTGAAGGTCAATCTAGAGGTAAATCAAAATCCCGGGGGGCTCTCAACGAAGTTATTTACAGGGAAGTTCCGCCCCAAGGTCCGATCTCTTCTTTAATTTTATATGCCATTCTTAACGCTGACAGAAATAAGGACCCCTTTTTATACCAAGCAAGAACACTGCATCCCTTAAACTATTGTAAATGCAAGTTGTCCTTTTCACAGCCCAAGATGCGTCCGTTAATCCGTTTATGTCCTTTTACAGACCGAAATGACGATTTTCTCTCTTCTTTCGTATACTTCAACATCGCTAACCTTTTATATACCTGGACCCAGTTGTTCAAAAGTTGGATAACGCTATCCACGTTGAATAAATCACTATCTACTGGATTAGCGTGATTGGTTTCCCTAAAACTTATCCGTTGGATAGTGATTTATCCGGTGGATAGCGCTATAAACAAACTATTGAACAACTGCTATTGTTCAAAAGGATGTTATATCTGAGCCTATTTTCGCATTCTGATTTATACCTGGCTCGACTGTCCTCAAAACAGGGAAACACAGAGCTCACACATTATCCACTCGCTAGGAGGTGAATATTGTTGAATAGTCCGAGATAGTGAACCAATCGGATTGCTTAAATCACCAAGATATAATAATTGGAAATGGAGAGGAGGGTGGGGACGTTTTCAACTATTTCATACGCGGCACGTTTTCTTCCGGGTATTTCAAAATTACAATAATATATGACAGCTGACATTTCCCATTTTAAGTTTTTTCTATTCAGACACCGCTGTCTGGAAAATGGTTGTCAATTTTAAACTTGTGTCTTGAATCTCCGACCAACTCGACGTATTCCAGAGGGTCGTTTTCCATTCGGACGTCAGTAATCTGCGCTCTATCACCAAAGAGAAGCAAGAAAAAATATAAAGGAACTGTTTGCTTTCAAGACAGTCTTCTTTGCCTTGTTAAACTGAATGAATTGACTTTTAAATACAAAAAAATACAAAAAAGGTGTTTTAAAGTGTTTAAAGAAATCTCATGCCTGGCCATAGCACTTGAGTTTCCCTAGAGTATGATAACCTTCCTCGTCTGAGCCATCCAAGTCCGCCAGTCTGATCTGTGACACAGGTAATGCAGACTTGTCCGTCAGCAGACCGCTGTCTTCTGTCCAGCCCCTGTTACCATCGTGACAATTACACTTTTTTCCACTGGAGCAAGAGTTTGTTACTCCGCATGCGCACGTGTTGGCTGATCCACCTGCTCCTCCCCAGTAGTTCATCTTCCTTCCATCACGTGACATCCACCAGGCAACCGACTCCGGTACAAAGCCTACATCCCTGCTGCACTCAAACTTGATAAACTGTTCACAGTTCTGTGACACTCGGGTAAGTGCTGCTAGCTGTGAAAAGCTGCCAATAACTGCAATAAAGTATTTACCTACATTACCAGTGTTGCTAAGCAACAGTTAAAAGCAATCGGTTTATATGACGGCCACAGTGCGAGTTAATGTTAGGTATTTTTTTCTCTCTTTTACGTTGAGTCTGTGAATTCGATGGGCGTGAAGCTCAATCTAAAGGTGAATCAAAATCCCGGGTGGCTCTCAACGAAGTTATTTACAGGGAAGTTCCGCCCCAAGGTCCGATCTCTTCTTTAATTTTATATGCCATTCTTATCACTAACAGAAATAAGGACCCCTTTTTATACCAAGCAAGAACACTGCATCCCTTAAACTACTGTAAATGCAAGTTGTCCTTTTCACAGCCCAAGATGCGTCCGTTAGCCCGTTTATGTCCTTTTACAGACCGAAATGACGGTTTTCTCTCTTCTTTCGTATACTTCAACATCCCTAACCTTTTATGTACCTGGACCCAGTTGTTCAAAAGTTGGATAACGCTATCCACGTTGAATAAATCACTATCCACTGGATAGCGTGATTGGTTTCCCTAAAACTTATCCGTTGGATAGTGATTTATCCGGTGGATAGCGCTATAAACAAACTTTTGAACAACTGCTATTGTTCAAAAGGATGTTATATCTGAGCCTATTTTCGCATTCTGATTTATACCTGGCTCGACTGTCCTCCAGGTTGCTGAGGGGGCCTTTTTCTTTTTTGTTAACCTGCTTAATTAAACTTAAAACCATATTGATTACGCCAGTATGTTACTTAAATAAGATGTGTCACAAATACACCAAGCTTCATCTTTTTATATGTTAACAACATCCGGAAACCGTCTTCTACCGGGAAGGGTGAAACCACACTGGGTACTAAAGCAAAAGTAATTATCATACCGTAAACGCCGCTAAAATATAGCCAATCAGAATGCCGAAGACGTGGAGCTATCACCTGCATTCAGCACTCTAGACAGGTCACTTGATGTAAATTTGTAGGATTTGGATAACAATATCGTATATCTTCTAATATAAAGGGCCCCTAAAGAAACTTAGCAGTTCGTATTAAATCGCCAAAAATGACGGGCATTTAATTTTTATCCGTTTGAATTACAGCAGGGGATAAAACCCTTGTATATGTACAAGTCTGCACTTTTTGTTCATATATTTATTCATTTGTTTCTTCATTTTACTTTATTTTCACGTTACATCAAACGTATACCAGAAAACTATTGTAGTAAAAGTATTGTTCTAATAAGGCGTTAATCTGCTTTTTTTTAAAAAAATGAAAAATAAAATCCAAGCTCTTGCCGATAAACGGCAACAGCAGGGATATCCTTGATGATGCCGTTGATCAGCGAAAGCTTAGATTTCATTTTTTTAATTATTTTTAAAAAAACAGCAGTTTAATTAAGGCCCAATTAGAACAATATTTTTATGTCAAAAGTTGTTAAGGTGTTCCTAAGGAAAAAAGAAGACATGTAAAGACTTTAAACCAAGGAAGGGAGGGGGTGCGCTTACTCAAGCATAATTAACAATAATATTATTCTTTGAAATCGAGGTGAATAGTGGCTGACCTTTAGCAAGCCGCGAAACGGCGAGCTAAATAACCACTATTCACCGAGATTGAAAAGAATAATTGTTTTAGTATATACACAAGAAATGATCTCAATAAAATCAGAGAGGAAACCATTAAAAAGTACGATTCGATTGACGGACCAAATCACGCGAAAGTTTAAGAATAGTTCTTCCCACAATTTTCAAACAAGGCAATTCACAAGTTTATCACTTCGCAAACAACAGCGTAATGGCATAAATGGAACTGCTAAGAGGTTGAATTGTTTCCTTACCTGCGAAGAAAAGTAGAGCTTTGTTGTTTTCTGTTGCCTCGCCAAGTTTATAGCACAAAAGGTTTGTTGTGTCGTTCTTCGCAAGAAGTGCTGACAAAAAAGGCGGCTCGGTTTCTCGAGGTAAGAAGTCGTCTTCCTGTAGCATTCTTTCTCCTATTTACTTAAAACGTAGAATTTCTGCAAACATTTGCTTTCAAATTGGTTTGTCATAAATAAACTTCGATTTTTGGGTCAAATGTTTCTTGTTAGGACACGCTGAGTTCACGAAACGGCCTCTTCTACGCGAATAAATGGGAGTTGTAAACAATCCATTGAGCACAAAACATGCTCAGCTACAGTAAATGGAAAAATGCCGTTTTGAATCCTTCGAAGTCTTTTCTTGTCTTAAAAAAAAGTCAACCCTCGGATTTTGTCGACTTTTAAAAGATCGTTCTCTAAAAAACTGGGAAACACAGAGCTCACACATTATCCACTCGCTAGGAGGTGAATATTGTTGAATAGTCCGAGATAGTGAACCAATCAGATTGCTTAAATCACCAAGATATAATAATCGGAAATGGAGAGGATGGTGGGGACGTTTTCAACTATTTCATACGCGGCACGTTTTCTTCCGGGTATTTCAAAATTACAATGATATATGACAGCTGACATTTCCCATTTTAAAGTTTTTTCTATTCAGACACCGCTGTCTGGAAAATGGCTGTCAATTTTAAACTTGTGTCTTGAATCTCCGACCAACTCGACGTATTCTAGAGGGTCGTTTTCCATTCGGACGTCAGTAATCTGCGCTCTATCACCAAAGAGAAGCAAGAAAAAATATAAAGGAACTGTTTGCTTTCACGACAGTCTTCTTTGCCTTGTTAAACTGAATAAATTGACTTTTAAAAACAAAAAAATTTAAAGTGTTTTAAAGTGTTTAAAGAAATCTCATGCCTGGCCATAACACTTGAGTTTCCCTAGAGTATGATAACCTTCCTCGTCTGAGGCATCCAAGTCCGCCAGTCTGATCTGTGACACAGGTAATGCAGACTTGTCCGTCAGCAGACCGCTGTCTTCTGTCCAGCCCCTGTTACCATCGTAACAATTACACTTTTTTCCACTGGAGCAAGACTTTGTTACTCCGCATGCGCACATGTTGGCTGATCCACCTGCTCCTCCCCAGTAGTTCATCTTCTTCCCATCACGTGACATCCACCAGGCAACCGACTCCGGTACAAAGCCTACATCCCTGCTGCACTCAAACTTGATAAACTGTTCACAGTTCTGTGACACTCGGGTAAGTGCTGCTAGCTGAGCGGTACTCACTCCATTGTAAGTCACATCTTTACGGTAACAACCAGGGTTATTTAACCCGCATCCAGGAATGTTACCAACATATGTTCTGTTCTCGCTGTCGTGACTTATAATTGTCACGCCAACTCCTCCCTTGTCAGTCATGTCACAATACACACTGAACGGAGTCACGCCTCCTTTGCCATCAGGGTCAATAATATAATTACCTGATGAACTTCCACTGCCGCCTGATTTAATGCCGCTACAAGACGTTTTCTTTGGCACTTCAACAGTAGACGATGCCTTAATTGTTCGTTGATAATTTTTAGCTACACATGTATAAGTTCCGGCATCACTTGCGGTCACCTGAGTTAGAAATAAAGTTCCGTTTGGGAAGATAACGTGATTCTGAGGAAGATTTTTGTTTTTTCTGTTCCAAGAAATCTCTATGGATCCCTGGGCTTTGCAATTGAGCATCAAGTTACCTAACTGAGGGGCTACAAACTTTATTGGAGGCGTCAGAGTAAATGTTAGCCTGTCAATCACAGCTACTAGTGCGACAGCGGAGTCTTCTCCAAGGAGATTTTTTGCTGAGCATACGTATGTCCCACCATCTGCCTTCGTTACACTTACAATGCTCATGCTCCCATCGATTACTGCAGTCTTTTCTTTTGGCACGATACCTAACGCTTTTCGCCACGTAACCGTTGGCATCGGCACTCCAGTAGCTTTGCATAAAAGGGTCACGTTTTCTCCTTCTTCAACGATAACAGAGGAAGGCTTTTGTGTGATCAAGGTAGCAACTGCAATTAATAAACACGAAAGAGCATATCACCCGATCATTTTGAGGCATCCATGAAGAGTTTTCTTTGAGTAAACCTTGCAATACAGTAATTTCATACTCCTGAACAAAAAAATTATTTCATTGAATGTAACAAGCTTAAGGCCGTCGCCCCTGTGAAGTCTGAGGCTTCAGTTTTGTTTAAATGCTGGTTTTCGAAAGCGACGGAGTCGGATGTCATACTGGCGTAATCAGAATTCCACAGCGTCATGATTTTTTACTAGGACTCCGGGACCTAGTAGCATGGGGTACCCAATGCTTGTGCAATTATATGTTCTAACAAGTGCATATTCAAGATATCGACCCGAAGCTCTTTCGAAGCTTAGGTGCAATATACTTTATTGCTAGTACTGTAACATTATTTTAGTTGTTTAGTTGTATGACAGTGAATTAAGACTACTGGGACATTAAAATTGGGAAGTAAATTACCTTGAACAGTTAAAATGGCCGATGAAGTCATGACTCCAAGAATATTTCTCGCCTTACATGTGTACACACCTCCGTCTTGTGACGTCACATCTCGAATCATCAGTCCACCACGTGATTGTATAATTCGTTTGTCGAAAGGAAGACTGGAATTTTGTTTCATCCACGTGACCTGAGGTGTTGGATTTCCTTTAACCTCGCACTGCAACGAGGCTATACCAGTTTCGTTTACCACCGTAGACACTGGAGGTGACAAAATAGAAGGAGCTGAGATGGATTCACCGGGATCTCCCTTGGGTCCATGAGGGCCCTCTTCGCCTTTAGGCCCAGATGGTCCCTGATCTCCTTGTGCACCTTTGTTTCCTTTAGGTCCTTGGGGCCCGCGTGGTCCGGGTGGACCATGCTTACCTGGGGAACCAGGTCTGCCATGTCTCCCCCTAATACCCTTATTACCCAGCTGGACTTCCCTTTTGATGCCATCACGATTATTATGACTGACAGTTACACTGAAGTTGTTCTTTACATTTTTGAGGTTGCGTTTCTGGCGACTGTGAACTCCTGCAACTACAAGGAAAGAAAAGAAAAAACAGTGAAGTTAATACTTTGTTAACAATAAATAAGGAGGATAATGGCCATTTGCGCGATGGTTTCATTATATATTGTATTACTACAACCAGAATCCTTTTCGCTGTTCTTTTCATATTTGAATTTGGTAATCTCAGTAAGGTTTAAATACAAAGGCCCTTTTTTGCACGAGAAAGCAGTACCCTGAACGACTCTAGTCGTAGTAGTAAAATTATGCTGTCGTGCAAATGGCCTAATGCCACCCCAAAAAAACCTTCAATTTGTTGCAGGTTTTTAAGAAATAATTTTCGCTTTTTACTGACGTAATTGATAAGGGGCACCCAACGACCAAATACGTCAGAAGTGTTTTAGCTGCCCTGAAAACTATTTATTTCTTCTGATGTCTTCAGTTAGATAGGGGAACTTTGATCGTCCGCGTTCCTTTTCCTTGGCCTTTTGTATTTTTATATCAAACCCTTTGAGGTTTCCTTTCCCAGGTGTTTTTTGTTAAGAGTTTTGTTTACGTTATTGTTGCCGTTAAAAGTCTCATCGTCACCATCTTCGTGATCACTATCATCGTTATATGATCATATCTCACTAATTATTGCGCCAACGTTTGGAGTGTTTCTATTTCGTATTGACTTGATCGTAATGACTATCTTGGCTGTAACCTTATGTAGCTGACAATCCTTTTATCCGTTTAGACAAAGAGGAAGCCTTTTCAATTGCACAACAGCTGAAACGGATACAAAAACAAAGATTCCCTTCAATTCCGCACTATGAAAAAATAAACTTTTTCAGTATCAGGAAACACTGTTAGATTTTTCAAACCGCTGCGGGTTGCTATGTTGATGCCTGTTAGCTGTTGGATATTGACAGCAAATATGTACAAACCTTTGTAAAATTTTGCGACGTTGAGGAGCTATATCTTCGCTAGCTACTGTAGTTTTGAACAAATGGCGTTCAAACTTGGCACTTTTACTAATTTAAGGGCGTTCTTTCAAGTGGAGTCAATGGACGTACCCTACCTTGTCCATGTCAAAAAACGAGGAATAGTCTATTGTTTTAGAAATACCTACCCACGAAAGAATTTATGCGACGCATCCTCGATGCCATGTCTCAGTCAGTGAATTTATAGCTTATAACAAATAAGAAATCACGCAACTTACCTTCAACAGAGTCACTTTGAAAGGATGCGGTGGTCGGCTCATTTCGAACAGTTTTGCGTGGTTCAAAATTATCCGCTATTTGTTGACTTAAGACTTGAAGCATTTGTCGATGAGCATGAAGTTCGACCTCGACGTGAACCAGTGCTACAAAGCAGACAACAAGGGAGAGAAATATTGAGGAAAACGCCAACGTTTTGGAGCCCGGGCGCATCTTCGACGACTCCATGACTCAACCTTAGACGGTAATTAGATGCGAATGATTATTAAAATAACTGGAAGATTTAAACCACTGTTAAAAAAATAACCAAGCTCGTGTAATTGTTGCTGCTTGCCGAAAAATAGCTTTGACCTGTAAGACGTGACGTTTATTAAAGCCTGACCTTGTTTCCGCCTTTCAATTTGACTATTTCCCAGCCCTCTGAGGAAATTTTCCAGAAGCATCCGAGTCTGAAATGCCAGTTATTTCAATGTACGCAGCGAGTTGTATTACCTAACCGCAACTGATGAAGCATGCAAAAATGGAACTCAGTTCGGTGAAGAGCAAGGCATTCTTCATTTTACAACATTTAACTGTTTATTATTTAGCTACATATTATATTTTTTAAAAACTAAAAAATTGCTAAGGTATCCAAAGTTTTACAGAAATCACTTGCCAGTCCAAAACAATTAAGCTGTCGTAATGTATGATATCCTGAGTAAGTGAAGAGATCCCTGACCAACAACTCGCGCTCGGCCTGTTCGTTGCGCATACTGACGCATTATGTACGATCCACAACTAACCAAAAAATGAAACTTCTTGTTAGAAAGGAAAGTTTTCTTTGCAACAGTTAGCTGCATATGACTTAACCGCATAACCCTATCACTTGTCTGAAAAACAAAAATTGCTCATGTGCCCCGCAAAAATATCTAGATATATTTCATGTCTGGCCGTACCACTTCCGCTTTAGCTACAATCAGGGACAAAAGTAGTTGACACACTTGTCTAAAACAGACGCTTTCAGTAACAATTTCCTTCCTTTTACATACGACTGTGTTTAAAGGCCTTAAATCCCCCCACCCCTAAATCAATGTTGTTTTCAGTTGAAGAAAGACTTGATGATATAAAATACAACATTGATTTTAGGGGGAGGGGGTTAGGGGGACAGAGGGGAAGGGGATAGGTATGTCTACTATGAAAAATGGGGCCATTTTACAGAAGTGTGTCAACACTTTTGTCCCTCATTGTCTGAAGGCAAAATGGTGTTACTGCAGACATGTTGATCATTGTGTGACAATGAAATTGAGTGAAATTAAAGCAATCAGAGTGATATTCAAGTTATTGTTGGTTGGACTGCAATTGACTTAATTACGTCCGAATTATGGGCCTAATACCAATTACGGGATTACGTAACAAAAGGGCACCGATTGTCAGAATTGAGGGCGATATGGTTTTCAAGGGAAAAATCGACGCGGAAAGACGCGCATATGTACGTTTTTTGGTCAAATTCAAGGGTATGTCTACCAAAAAAATTTTAGATGAAGTGAAAATTTCACGTTCTTCACTTTACCGCATTGTACGAGCGCAAACACTGAATGGTCAGTGTCAAGATCGAGTAGTGAGAAAGAAAGTCACTGGGCGGCCACGGAAATTGAGCCATAGAGAGGAGCGACTGTTGCTGCGCAGCATTCCAAAACTGCGTAAATCCGATGGAAATTTCACGATAAAGCGTTTAATGCAAAAAGCCGGGATAGACATTTCTCGCGTGTCAACTAAGACCGTCCAACGATTCCTCCATAGAGAAGGTTACCAGTATTTACACGCACGTCAAAAGGGCCTCTTAAAAGAAACAGACCTCGTTAAGCGTTTAAAATTTGCACGAAAGATGAAAAGAGATAATTCTACGAACTTCTGGACAGAGAACATTTCTTTTTACTTAGATGGTGTGAGTTTTGTTCATAAGTACAACCTCGCTGACCAAGCGCGGGCACCAAGTGGGCGTATATGGAGAAAACAACAAGAGGGCCTAGCCTTTGGCTGCACAGCCAAAGGTTCCCATTGCGGCACCGGTGGAAGAGTTGCGAAATTTATGGTTGCCCTTAGCTATGGTAAAGGGGTAGTTCTATGCGAACAGTATGAAACCTTGAACGGACAATACTTCAAAAGTCTGATCGAACGAGAATTTCCCCGTATGTTCAGAGTCTGCAATAAGGGAAGACCAAAACTATTTATGCAAGACAATGATCCCAGTCAAAACTCGGCGTTAGCTCGCAGCGCTTGGAGGCGATTGCGAGCCAAGCTAGTGCCCCTTCCTCCAAGAAGTGGTGATATTCATTTCATAGAAAATATTTTTCACATTGTAAAGATGGCTTTGGAAAAAGACGCATTAGACAGGAACATAACACACGAGACATTTCAGGAGTTTTCTGAGCGCGTAGCTACCACTTTTCATAATCTAGATACAACTTTAATTGACAGGACAATTGAAAGTATGAATAACAGAATAGAATTATTGCTTAAAAACAAAGGACAGCGTACAAGATATTAAAGTCGTACACTAGAACAATAGATGAATAAAATAACTGTCAATTAGAACAGGCAATGCACAGTGTGACATGATAACACAAACAGCGTGACATGGGCGCATACTATATCAGCCTACAGTGTTTGTTTTCGCACGGAAATCTTTCTTTTCTGTGAAAATTCATCAACAAAAATAAAACTAATCTTTTCCAACATGAACAGTTCTCTGAATTACAGCTAAAACAATAACTCAAACTGAAAAAAATCACTGCTTTCTTGGTGATGGAACGGTTAACCACATGTTGGTAATCAGTAAGCAATATAATGTATACAACTCTTAAATGTCGATGTGTTCTATCGTGGTTAACCGTTCAAACTCCTTATTTACACGACATCCGTACAATCTTTCTCGCCAAGAATAAGCTGTGCGAAGCACTTTCCACATGGGGGAATCTGCTTTTGCTTTTCTTGCGGAATTTGCGCATGAAAGCGAAAAATTCTCCAGCGCACAGCCATCATCTCTGTCTCCTTCTCATCAATTGTGCAATTCTTCGCGAAAATAATGGGGTTTTTTCCGGTGGCGAAAATTGGCGTGTCTTTCTCGAAGACAATATCTTTTGCATAATGTGATTTGGGGGCTGGTAAATGAACTAACTGTCCCTCCAACATTAATAGGAAATCATGCCACTGGATAACAGCCGGGGACCATCTGAAATCATTCAAAAAAATACATTCAGCCTGTTCCGCGCCAACCCATGCAAAACTTGTGGACGCTGGGTTTGAAAAGGTGTTAAAAATGACATTAAGAGGGTTGAGCAGAAATGTTTTTGCGCAGTTGGCTGGGCCTACGATCATAAGATTCCTGTATTTGCCGCGTCCTTTCTGTAATAATTCATGCACACAATGTCCAAAATAGTTTATGTCCACTCCGTTACCCTGGAGTACTTCTTTCGCTGAAATTAACCATTGTCCAGAACAATTTTGTACGCATTCTCCGTCTCTTACTTCCTTTAATAGCTGGATTCTGCTTTTCCTCTGCCTTTCTAGGTTATCTTTAGAATTTTCCAGCTCCCAGGTAGTAGCCAGCACGTCTGCTACAACTTTCGCACCTCTATTTACAATAAACTCTGCGATGTCCGTTTTCCCCTCTACTTTTTGCTCTCTTGCAAGGGCTAGTAGTTCAGTTCTTGATTTAATGTTCTTAGCTAGAATGATTTCCG